CTTAAGGCACTGAGATACAGACTATAGTTTCTATGCCTTTTTGTTCTTTCTACTACAAAGAATATGGAGTCAATGGAAAAGTTCATGATCCGAGGCGGGTTTTTTGATCTGTTATGATTCATAAGAGAAATAGTGTAATTCATAGTGTAATCTGTCAAAGGATACTCCCATTGAAAACCTCATGTATATACACAGTTTTTGCAAAACATTTACTCAGCTACATACATAAAAAATCACCACCCATATTTCTTCTTCTACTACTACTGAAAACTTCTTAACTTCACTAGGAATGAATCCAACAGAAACCAAGGTCTTTATAAACTGTAAAATCCCCTGCAGTGATACTGTATTACTGCAATATAGCTCTTTCAGAAATGTGAGAAACGATTCTCTCTCTCTTCTTTTTTGAATGTTCCTAATGTGTCTATGGCACGTGCAAATGTAGTATTGCTAAAAGAAGGTAAATGTAGTATTGCTAATTTTATACATTTAACATCTGTATTTGAAAAAAAATTTTAAAGATGGTATTTTTAAATGTCTAATTTTATGATTTTAGGTTCTAAGAGAATTTGAAATGCAGGCAACATACAGAGTGGGATAAGAGTAGGTTTACAGTGTGATCCTGCAAAAAAAAAAAAAGTTTATTCTTGTATTATTATTTGTTATTGTATCGCTTTCCATATGTACAAATATAAACCTGCTTTTGCCCCATCCTGTATTTACCATCATATATCCAGTATTAAATACTAATATTTTTTTGATATTATTCCTCTTGAAAAGTCCACTAAACTTAACTTCAAATACTCATTTTTTAGACTAATAAAATAAGGTGTTGAGGATAGACATATAGACAGAAGACAAAGTAATCATTGCATGGGGTGGGAAAGGAGATGGAGTTTAACAGTACATGCAGTAGTTACAGTGGTGACGGAAACAGTGTAAAACTGATTTATGATGATGACTGTAACATTTGGTAAATTTACTAAATTTATTATTATCCACTTGCAATGGGTGAATGATGTGGTATATAAAAGCGATTCAATGAAGTTATACAAAAAAGTGAATGCTTTGAATGAGAAATGCCTGAAATACAAAAGCAGATATTATTTGAATCCATTTATCTAAACTACAAAAGGGGCAAACTAATTTAGTGTTAAAAATCAGAATAGGAACCATTCTTGGGGAATACATCAGGGCACAAGGCCAGGCATCTTCATCTGGTTGTTAGTTGGCTGGTCTTGGTGAGAAGACATTGAGTTGTACATTTACATTATGCACAAATGCAAAATTTTCCTGAACTACATAAACATATTTGCATATGCATTTACAATGCCTTCTAAATCTGAAAGCTATATCCCATTCTATGTAAAGTTGTTATATAACATATTTAAAATATGAGTCATCAAAAGATGGCATAAGGATGGCATCATAGATGATATTCATACATTTCACATCTTTGTCCAATTTATGAGATGGAATTTAAAAAAGGGAATGATGGCATCAAGCTAGTTTATCATTGAATTAGTAAGGTTTCTTGGGGAGGATTTGGGGGTATAGATAAGGTGGGGGTTGGCCTGGAGCTGTGGCACATTTGGAAGACTCCTTAGAGAGATTATACGGATTAGGCGGAAACCAATAAGCTTGTGAAGCCATGATAGAAAAGGATAACTGAAGGGGCTATTTCCTTATATCCTAATTTTGGTGTTAATCCACTTATATCTCTACTATCACTGTGGTCTCTTCTGGTTCCACTAATGCTGTCATCCTTTAAGGACCAGCTTAACACTTTCTTTCCACAAACACCTTATCACCACAAATATCTAGCTGAAAGAATGTTCCTGCTTTTTATTTTTTTAACTCTTCAATAAATGTAAATGAGATAAAAATAAAATATGGAACAAGTGACAGAGTTGGTTTTTTATCAGCCAAAAAAAAAACCTATAGTTTTCAAGGCAGGAACCATGTCTGATTTAATTATTCAGAGAACTCTAGAGTAACTGTCATGGTGAACTGCATATCATGGACGTCCAATTGTGGTTGGTGTCAAAAATGGAACAATTTCCATTAATACCTGAGATAACATGAAACCTAAACCGAGTTGAAAATGCAAAATTTCTGCAGTTACCATTATCAACAGTCATTTTCAGATTTAGACTCTAAAGTTACATATACTATTTGTTAACATTTTGTGTGTTAACATAAAACAAAAATCAGTAAAGTTAAGAAAGCTTTTAAGCCCAGTCAGTGTTGCTTAGTCCTTGAGTGTCGCCCATGAAGCAAGAAGTTACCACATGGATTTCAAGTCAAGGCACATGCCCAGGTGGTTTGCTTGATCCCCAGTGGGGGTGTGCGAGAGGCAGATGATTGATGTTTCACTCTCATCACTGTTTCTAACTCTCTTTCCCCTGTCCCTTCCTTTCTCTCCAAAATCAATAAAAACATTTTAACTAACATGACAAAATTGGAGAGCATTTCTTTTCATTCATTTACACTTCAAAAGTTTGTTTTAGGTAAGATGAACAGAAAGTGTGGCCTCTAGAAGCCTACATTTTACTTTAGACAAGGCTGCCATCTGCAATGTGACAAAATAGATTTATAAATGTTTAAGTGTGATAAAGATGGGTGCACTGAGATCAAAGTTCTGTGAAGGATAAATAAATGTGTTCTGACCCCTTAACAAGTCTTCTAGTAGAATAATGGTGAAAAGGCACAGCACAGGAAATTTGTAGGAGGTGCGGACAGAACGGCAGGAGAACACACTTGGATTTGAGAACCGGAGGTGCATTCTGAAAGGCAGGGAGAAAACTGGCTTTTCTGGAGCAGATATCAGATTGTATTTTTCTACTGGGGAAGAATATGCAAGTAAATTGTCACATACTTTCCAATTCAAGTCCTCGATTTTTCACATTTACTCACATGTTCATATACAGTTGTATTTATGCATTTGTCCATGTGTATATAAACATCTGCATGGGGTAACAATGTTTCATGTCTGCCCTTGCATTCCACATCTGTCTAATTTATGAAGTTGAAAGGAGTTATGAAGCCATTTTAACAAGGTTATGCAAGGATACACAAATAATCTTTTCTTAATAATCCTCCTACCTAGAGACATACTTAGAAAATGTTTACATTCTGATTAAACTGCCCATATCATAATTAGTAATTAGCATTATTTAGCATTCTGCCATCAGCATGACTGTGAAACTTCATTATAAAGCAGCTTCAGTAGACATGGTGATTCTATCTCTTGGGAGCTTACAAGATGGAACCAGATTTTCTCTCTCCAAGAGTCAAAAGCATTGATTTTGGACAAGGGTAAGCATAGTATCAATATATTTAATTGTCCAAATACAAGTTTAGAACTTGCCTCCACAGAGAATTAACCACAGTTATTTTGGCCAAGTGACAATTCATACTTGAGAAATCACCAGGAGGGCTTCCACAAATGATTTACTGAAGGGGCTTAAAACAATTTTACTCTGCAGGTTTATCACTTTATAGATGCATCCCATCAAATTCAGTAATTCCTGAGGATTTTTGTGTGGTAATTATTAGGATTAAGGGCTTATTTGGGGAGCCATTGATAGTATCAATGAAAGGATTAAGCCAATTTCAATGAAAATCATATAGAGATCAAAGAGTTATGAAGTTAATGCTTCTGCTACATTTTGCATGAAAACCTAATCACAGAAAAGCACAATCTCCTCATGAACCCACATCCCAAATGGATTCTAAAATTTAGTAGTCTGACAGAACAATACAGTACCCGTTTCTTACTACCCATGGAAAACTGTTCCTGAAAGACCACAACACCATAACATCTGTACTCGATGAAATGACTAGACTTTTTTTAGGCATAACATTAGAGAATTTAACCATAGTTGGTATCTGTCAAATATATAACAAGAGAGAATGTATAACAAGAAGAACCAAATGCAACCAAACTAATATCAAATAGTATCCCCATTTTTAAAATCTTATTTTTTATAAACACTCACTACTATCTTTCAAGTATACCTCACATAATTTGATTATCAAAATTCTGGTATGTGATAATTCCTTTTATTAATTGATACATCAGAAATTTATAAATATAAGATATTGACTCTACTAGTTTATTAATAACATATAAACATATATAAATTTTTAAGTGTATCAAGAAGACAAAAGGTTAAATAAGATAGGCTTTCTTAAGCACAATAAAGCAACTCATGAAAAATCTTGTTTTTTGCTTTGATATTCCAATGTGGTTATTCGTAAATATGCCATGATTTTCCCCATATATTAAGAAATCATTAAGTTACAAAAGAAATGCCCAAAAAAGGAAATGATAATTAAAAAAACACAAATTCACTAAATAAAAATAACTGATTGATTATTTAGAAAGCACTTTGTGACCAAGTCCTCAAATAGCATGAAGGCTTATACTAAATGAATGGCTTCCTCTTTGATTTCTAAGAAATCACATTAATAGTAAACAAATATTTAAAATATACTTAATACTTAGCTCATTTATCAAGAAATTAATATAATTTAAGCCTTCTATAGTAAGGATCTCTATTGACCAATCCATTTCCAGTTGAAGATCATCTTTTCCTTATCCAGTGATGTTACATGGTACCTTCATTTATATTATCTTAATATGGTAACATTTTAGAAAGCTTAAATGTATTAAATGAATTAATTTCTGAATTTTTGGGTAACTGTAAAAAATAAATTTAGTTTCTCATCTAATGAACCAGTTCTAGAGAATGCACAGTAGACAATGAAACATAATGAATAACCTAAAATTTTTTAATAATTAACAAATGTGACTTGCAACCCTATTATTATTATTTCAGTGATATGGGGGATAGTTTGATATTGAAATAGTATCTCAAATTATCCTAAAATAACACAATAATTTTCTGTCCTTACTTGTGCTGAATATGTCACACAGGTGCATGTTAAGAGTTTGTATTAAACGCATAAAGAAAAGAATATTAGCAGTATCCTACCTTTGAGACATAATCTTATAGGCATCTGGCAGATAGCATCGTATATTCTCCATCTGAGCAGGGTCAGAGTCACAGATTTTGTCATCAGTCCTCCCGTAGTTGGCGCTCTCAATCATGATGACATCTGTTCCTGGGCAGCGGAGCTCTATGGGGTAGCTCTCACAGGACAGCTCTCTGCGGACCACAGCCATCGGGATTGGGGCTCGGCTGAAAGCTACGGGAAGGAGGAGAAAAAAGGTTAAGTGCTCTTCACCACATATGAGGGAAAAGTGTATGTGTTAGCTTTCCCGGTGTTTGGGGGGTAAACTAATATCAAGGAATGAAAGAGTTGCAATTCATAATTTTAATTTAAATAGAATATCTCCAACTTTAGTAACTTCACAGATATATTTTATTCTAACAATAGTATTGTTTTACTTAGGATCTTTTCAAAAATTTTTTATAAAACAGCACTCTGGATTTTCTAAAACTTTGGCTGGTACATGAAGTAAAGACTATATAGAAATACCCAATTTGGCCCTAGCTGGTTTGGCTCTGTGGATAGAGCATCAGCCTGTGGAATAAAGGGTCCCGGGTTTGGGCAGGAGGCGATAGATCAATGATTCTCTCTCATCATGGATGTTTCTATCTCTCTCTCTCTCTCTCTCTCTCTCTCTCTCCCTCTCCCTTCCTCTCTGAAATCAATAAAAATATATTAAAAAAATAAACAAGAAATTTGAATTTCTGAAAGTACAGAGGATTTAAAAGTTCTATTGAATGGAATAGCATAGGAATAATTACTACTCAGCTATCCTTTTGACTTATGGAACTTCAGCGCGAGAGTAACATTAATTATTCTTTTTGAGGATACACACACAGTGGTGGCCTTCAAGTGAAATTGTGCACAAGGACAATTTTGCTTAAAAAATGTTGCAAGTGCCTGAATAAATGAATTCATACCTATTTGTTATATATAACTTCTCTACATTTAATAAAATTATACTCTACACTGTATTCAATTACACTCATGAGGAATACAATTTCTAAACTTGTTTCAAATTTCACATATCACAATTATCCCCATATTTTTTCTAAATGTCAAAATTTCCAAACTTGCTGTTCAAAATGTTCTTAAGAATATTAATTATAATTTCAAGATAAAGAAGAACCCAGTAAAAACAATTATACAATTCAAAAGAAATAGAAAAGATATGCCAATTTATTGCATACTAATCACCTACAATATGGCTGTTGGGAACATGAACATTGTGTGCATTCTTGTTCCACATTGGGCATTATCTCAGGCCTAGGAACAGAATGGGGTTCCAAAATTGTCAGAAGGTTCTTTAGAGTCATCACATAAAATCAAGAAATTAATAAAAACTAATATGTGATGGCTTGTCAACTTGATGAGACTAAGAGTTATCCCATAGCTGGTAGTTTATTATTTCCAGCTATGTGTGTGGGGAAATCTCTGAAATGTTTAGCATTTGTTTTAGGTGACTAGTAAATTTGGGTGGGAATCATCCAAACTGTTCAGGGTCCAAATAGGACAAAAAAGTATAAATCTTCTCTCTGCTTCCTCTGGAATACCCATCTTCTCCTGCCTTCAGGCATTGGTCCTTCTGTTTCTTAGGCCTTTGACCTCAGACTGGGACTTAAACCATTGGCTCCCCTGGTTCTCAGTGGCTCAGTGGTTGAACATAGGTGCATGAACCAGAGGGTCAAGGTTCAATTCCTGGTCAAGGCACACTCCTGGTTGCAGGCTCAATCCCCAATTGGAGGGCAGGAGGCAGAAGATCAATGATTCTCTCTCTCATAATTGATGGTTTTTCCTTTCCCTTCCTCTCTCTGAAATCAATAAAAAAGATATATATTTTAAAAGAATATAGTATTATATAGTTGAAAGTAGCTAAGAGCAATCTTAAATGTTCTCAGCATACAAAAAAAAAAAAAAAAAAAAAAGACGAGAAATGATGAAGGCATTAACTAACCCTTCTGTGGTTATCATTTCACAATATGTGTTTCAAATCAACGTGATGTACACCTTACATGTATACAAAATAATTAAATCTCAATACCGCTGGAAAACATATATAAATATATTCAATAGAGAATCAAGAGTAGATTGGAGACAGAACTAAACAGTAGTCAGATTGAGAGAAACCTCAAAATCAAATTAAGAATATAGTCTCAATTATAAGGGAACGTGAAAGGTGACTCTGTAACCTATCATAATAAAATATTTATAACATTAATTTTTAAAAGCATTAGCCAGTAGATTGTTCAACCAGATGAGAGTGGAAGATAACAGAGTCTGGGAACTATTCAGGAAGAGATTGTGATAAGCTGTTTAGGGTGATATGACCATGATAATTGCTATCATTTATCAAGCGCTTGCCATAGTGCTGGTGCTTGAAAAGTATTATTTTGTTTCCAACTCTAACCAATAGCAGTTTGGCAGTATTTTCATCCCCATTTCAATATACCGGGAAGCTGCAGCATAGCCAAAAATGGTAGGAATGGGAGGCTTCAACAAAAAAGTCATACAGGTGAGAGATAAGAGGCAAAGATGCCCCCTGTGCACCACATAGATAAAACAAAGAAGGGGGCTAGAATCAGGAAATGCATGTGACATTATGAGAAAAATCACACTAAGTATCAATGATCTTAAAATTCAGTGAAATGCAGTCTAATTCCTGAATATGAAATGTTAATGGAAATATTCCACTTATTGTAACTGACAAAAGCTATTTTTAAAATATATATATTTTATTGATTTTCCAAAGAGAGGAAGGAAAAGGGATAGAGAGCTAGAAACATCAATGAGAGAGAAACATTGACCAGCTGCCTCATACACACCCCCTACCGGGGATGTGCCTGCAACCAATGTACATGCCCTTGATCGGAATCGAACCTGGGACTGGAACCAAATCGGTTTCAGCACAAAAGCTATTTTAATAGCACAAAACATAACATACTACTACTATTTTGAGAATTTTAAAGATACTTTTTAAACATTGATATTATACCAGAAAAACTGACATGAAGATTATCTTTGTGTAAAAATCTACTGCATGAAGATGGAAAATCATGGCATTAATTTTAAAATGTGGCATTGTCAAATTTAGTCATCTATTTTTTTTTCAGTATATAAATATATATTTTTCTTTATTGAAAATCAAATTTAAAATTTGTTCTTATTGTAAAACCAAGAAAATCAGTAGTCATGCAGATTTTAACAGAAGAAACATACAGGGAATTTAACGAAGGATAAAGATAAGTTTTGAATAAAAAAAACTATGATTATATTCTTTCCCTCCTCTCTCTCTCTCTCTCTCTCTCTCTCTCTCTCTCTCTCTCTCTCTCACACACACACACACACACACACACACACACACACACACAATTAATTGGAAAGAATAGAGTTTTCAGCAACCTATATATCTTGTTTTGCTTTATCCATAAGCAAAGTAAATGCTCAGACAATTCTTTTCTAATTCAGCAGCATACAGTTTCTATAGAAGAGACAAACCTTGTAAAAATAACCCCTTGGGTAACACCTTCAATATTGAAAAACATACACAACAGTGAATCCTTTGCCCACAAGCTTTAAAACAGCTTCATACAGCCAATGCGTGCTGACCTGTGTCTATATAATCCACCTGCGTTTGGAATGATAAGCCGAAGCCTAAGGAGGCTGACCAAGTCTGCATTTCCACATTGCTAGATTTTCTAACCCCAGTTTTCTCTGGCCTGTTTATAGCAGTCAGAAGTCAGCATTCATTAAACTAGAATGCATCTGTAAAAAATAAGGCTGTAAGTTGAATATGCTGCTTAAAAAGTAAAATGCTTAGTCTTCACTTTATTCCCAGTGAAAATATATCTTAGCAATAATTTCAAACAAATAAATTTTCATTAAGAAGTTGACTAGAATAATCCATAGGAACCAAAATATCTGACATATCTCATATCAATATCTGTACCTCTGTACCGATACAGTTCCTAGGGCAGTGGTTCTCAACCTTTCTAATGCCCTGACCCTTTAATATAGTTCCTCATGTTGTGGTGACCCCAACCATAAAATTATTTTTGTTGCTATTTCATAACTATAAATTTGCTACTGTTATGGATCGTAATGTAAATATCTGTGATTTCCGATGGCCTGGGCGAGTCTATTTTGAAGAAGTGGCGTTAGAAGAAGTTTAAGTTTAAAATATTTGCTCTCAAAAGAAATTTCAATTGTTGTATTGTTGATATTTGGCTCTCTTGACTAATGAGTTAGGCAATCACTGGGTTAGAGCATTGTCTCATGCAAGGGTTGTGGGTTTGATCCCAATAAGGGCACAGAATAGGATAAATTTTCTTGAGAAAGTAGCCATAAATAATGTATACTACTTTTAATAAGTAACATAGGGGAATCCTGTAATATTAATAATTAACAAAATACTACTGCATTTTAATATGAATTTGCCAATCAATTTATAAAGAGTTTGTATAAGTAAAAATATCTTGCAGATTTTAATAAGTCTCCAAATTACCATCTCAGGATTACAAAGTAAAATTAAAGTTGTTTTTAATGAAAGAATCCTTGTAATGCCTAGAAATTTGCTCAGCTCCAAGAAACAACCCCCTCATTAGAAATACTAAGTCCAAAATTATTTCCTAGTTGGATACTTCCTCCTGTCAACCATATTGAATTCATTGAATTGAGCTTTAACTAATATCCTGCTGCTCATCTAGTTTTATATTTATTCTCACTTGGATATTTGCTAGTATTTCCAAGGTCCTTGCTTTTATTTATTTATTTTTGAATCTTCTTAAATATGTTTTTATTAATTTTAGAGAGAGGGAGAGGAGGAGGGGGGGAAGGGGGGAGGGGGAGGGGGAGGGAGAGGGAGAGGGAGAGAAAGAGGGAGATAGAAACATCCATACTGACTGATCAGTTGCCTCCTGCCAGGGCTGGAGATTGCAGCTCAGGAATGTGCCCTGACCTGGATCAAATCTGCAACCTCTTGGTGCATGGGTTGATGTTCAACCACTGAAGAACACTAGCTGGGCACAAGATCCTTTGTTGCTTTATTTCCCTATTCTCCAAACAGGATTCTTCTCTTAATATTTGAGGAAGTTTTTTGTTTGCATGTTTGTTTTTTTGTAAAGATCTTTTTTACTTAAATTATAAAGTGAATTCAGAGGCATTTTGCCAACTTTATTTAAAAACTAAAAAATAACTTA